CTGAGAGGTCAAGGTGAGGACTGGTAAGTATTCATTGGACTTATCAACAGGGATATCTTTTGCAAGAACAGTTTCAGTGGAGTAAAGGAGGGAGAAGGTAGGTGGCAGCAGATTGAGAAATTCGAGAGTGTTGAAGAGGTGAAAGCATGGACAACCGTTTTAACCGTTTGACTGTGAAGGAAGAGACTGTAGGTGAAAGACAATGAAATCAAGGGAAACGTTGTATTAGTCCTGATTTTCTTAATATTCGAGAGGCTTGAGAATGTTTAAATGGTAATGAGTTATAGTCAACAGTATTGTATCGTACACTTAATATGTGTTTTAAGAGGCTAGATCTCATGTTAAGTGCTCCTACTGCAATAAAATAAATGCTGGTGAGAAGGAACCAATGAAGAAAGAGCAGTTAAAGAGGCATTTGATAAATATGGCAAATCGAACATATATATTTAATCTGTCTCTCTCCCCACCCCAAAGAAACCTTACTGAAATAATGGTAAAAGAATTTAAAAGTCATAAACCTCCAAGAGAACAGGAGAAGAGACCAGAGTGCATGAGAGGTGGTGGATAGAGGAGGGCCTGACTTAGCAGAGCCAGGTTCACTGTTACCTAAAAATAGGACCGAAAGTCTACAGAAAGAGACACTAGTGAGAAACAAGACGTTGTGCCCTATGCATCCTCAGAAAGAGTCGGGATAGGAGCTTCAGGTATTGTGGAAGGCTGGGGGCGGGGTTGGGGTGAAAACAAAGAGATTAACTCAGTATACAGAGCAGTTAGACCTAAGGTCCTCTCCCTGACCTTCTGTAGCTGCTTCACCCCCACAGAAATCTATAATATGGGGAGAAATTTAGCTGGTGACACACTCACCCTGGAGACTCCAGGCAGAGCAAAAGGCACTGGTGCCAGACAGGTCCCGAACTCCGAGGCCTGCCCAGCTCCTTTCCCTGCCCTGTTCGAGGAACTCAAGTAACTTGGCATGTCCTCCTCTCCCAAGCAGGAATCTTCAGGAATTTGATTAGAGATTATCTGTCCCTAGAGGTAGGAATTTGGTGGGGGGAGGTTGTCTCTCAATAAAAAAGCTACCTGGTCACCTGACTGTCCTAGAGTGAAGGTCACCAGTCAGTAAGCCGTGGATATTTACATAAACTCTTTATCAAAATTTTATTTCCTTTAAAATATAAATCGACAGCCAAAAATCACCACACATTTGAGGAAGTTCTTCAACATAATGGACAGAGCCAAAAATGAAAAGAAAACTAAAAGAAATAAGAGGCAACAGATGATGCAGAAGGTAAAAGAATACTTTAAATAGTAAATGCTTTTATGAATATCCGCAGAGAGATGAGAAGGTAACTGCATACTTGAAATAAGAATATGATGCTGCTTTTTAAAAACGAACAATCAATTAAAATGAGCTCTTAGAAATTAAAATCGTGATGGCCCCCCAATCCAAAGATTTTAGAAGGTGAAGTCAAGAAAGTGTTCTGGAGACTCATACACACGTACAGAGAATTGCACAATAGGAGGGAAAAATAGAAAATGAGAGGACCAACCCAAGATGTCCGCCATCTGATTAGTGGGCATAGCAGATATCTAATGTAAACTGGAGCCTTTGAGAATAATAAGCAATAGGTAATAAAAAGTGAAGTGGAGGATAAAATGAAAGAGACCTGTTAACTCCAGGGAATACTAAATGTTCAGGAAAGGAAATGTCATAGTATATACTTAACAGTTTAGCAGAGAAACATATTTACGTAATAATAATAAACACCAACTACTGATTTCACACAAACTGATATAACTGAGATATTGGGAAAGAAACTGAATTCTTAACTACCATAATTAGAAAAACATGTTCTACCTTGATAAAGCAGGAAAAAAGTAATATAAGAATATATGCTTTGGGAAGATTTTCAACCAAAGATTAGGAGAGGTCCCTCTTCTTTCAGGCCCTAAGTTGGTTGATTGATTTTTGTTTTTTGGCTGTTGTTATTTCTTTTTGTTTTTTATTTTTAAAATAACACAATGGGTGAAAGATTTAGACTCTCAAGAGACAGATTATTAGTCAAAGGGTTTTCAACAAAATTTTTATTACATACAGATAATATTAAGTAATAATCAAATATTACCTCTACTGATACCTCAGCCTTCTGTTGGTAAAATTTCTTTTTAGTCCCACAGTTCAAGCAG